GTTGTGCCTCTCAGGTCCAGTCCCATGGCTTTGTAGGCAGACAGAACTGTGTTCAAATGCTTCCTGTTGTCCCTGGGGACACTCTCTGGCCTTGACGCTGTGTGCCCAGTGACTCCAGCAGTAAACAGATCATAAAGACAGCACCTACCCAGCAGCTCTGTTTTTGAGTTCTGCATGGAACCATGTTTGCCATGACCCCTGCACAGATCCTGGCTTAACAAATGGTGACTTGCTGCCAGACTCACGTCCACAGGGAGCAGCCTCCTCACAGACACTGGGGGAGTCTTGTCTGTAACCGTTGTGTGTCTTCTGGTCCCTGAGCCCACACTCACCCTACCATGGGGAGCAGGCGATAACCCAGACCACCACAGTGGTGTTGTTCTAGGAAGTCACTGATAAAAGGAGAAAAACAGAGCCATGGGCCATGTGATAAGCAAGGCACAGCGACCACAGGGCCGCCATGGAAGGGTTGGGGAGAGAAGGCCCGAGAAGGCAGAAAGCAGGAGAGGGTCCATGATGCACCTCCACTCCCACGCTCACCTTCCTGCAGAGATCCCCCCATCCAGGAGAGCTCTGCTCACCACTGCTGACCCAGCGGAATCTCCCAGCCCTGAAAGTCTCCCCAGATCCTCAGCGGCCCCCTCCCTGGTCAGCCACAGCAGCCCAACACCCATCACCCTAGATGGTAAGCCCTGGTGTCCCCAAGGGCACATCCTACATCCCGACTCTGATATCTCCTGGGGACCAGCACTAGTCCATGCCTCCTGAGGGACAAGAAAGACCCCCAGTCCTAAGGATCCAGCAAGCATTCCACAGCAGGAGGGGCTGGCTCCACACACTCTTCTAGAGAAGTCCCGGCCTTTCAGCTGGAGTGCCCTAGTTTGGATAAAACACCAGGGAGTTCATGCTTTCCTGCTCTGCCTTCTCCTGAAAAAATACCCTTGAGCCAGGAGCCCAACAGCCTCAAGGTTCCCGACCACAAGGCAGGCTCCCAGTCATCTCGCCTGGTTGGACTGTTGGGCTAAACGATGGCCAACGATGCTGATGCAAGCAATCTCCTATGCCAGAGCCCGGTTCCTTGCCTCAGAGAGCACTAGCTGTATGTGTCGAATCCAGTCACTTGCACAGATGATGTGCATCCAGGAGCCGTGGGTGGGAGCAGCGTGTGAGAGCCAGAGGACCCTACCACACGAGGAGGTGAGGACAGCCTGTCTGGGAAGGTCCACTGGCAGGGCGCAACCAGGAAGCCTTCCACTACCAGACCCCAAGCCCTACCCAGTCAAATCCCTGGTGGCCCCAGGTGACCTGAGTGCTTATGGGAACTGCCACTGTCCTTCAGGAAGCCCAGCACTAAGGCCAACACATATTGGAGCTACCCACTTCCTAAGCCACCAACAGACCTGAGAGGCCAGTCCTGCCTGTTAGCTGCAGAAGCACAGTAGGCCTATGCTGGCCAGCGCAGCTGTCCACTCCCTCCAGCTGGCATGAGGCCCTCTTCCCTTGCCTACCAATGACCTGCCACTTGACCTACTCACGGGTTCCAGGGACTATGACCTGTCATCAGCTGTCCATGCCAACCGGTAGTGCCCAGTTCAAAGTCTAACACTGCCTACCTGGCTCTGCTCAGAGTGACCTTCAAGGACCAAGTGACACCCACCATCCCCAAGCCCCAGCACTGTCCAGACCCTGTGCAGAGGGCCCAACGTGTCCCTGACACCAGTGTCTATTGTGTGATCCTCAACACTGACCCTGTCAAGCAGGATGATCTTTCGCCCCTACCAAAGAGAACAGGGAAAGGAACCCAGCAGCCACTTGCCCCGAATTACACAGGATGCACATGTTGGAGGCTGACACTCAGGACAGGCGCCTGCTGACATCCGACTCTCTCAGCATCAGCCACGTGGACTTACGTTGTTTCCAGGTGTCTGCGTGGAGCTAGACAACCATCCCCCGGGCACATCTTCCCCCCTGAACCTCAGGTGTCCTAATTCACTAACCATCATGTCTTCCTTCATCCTTTCTACAGAATTTAGGACAGTGTGACAGGCGTGTGACGATGTTTTAAAGACACAGACATGCTCCAGAGACCCTGGCCTTCAAGGCACGTACACCCCGGAAGACTTCGATACAAGAACCAGGAAGATCAGTGAAGGGTGACAGCCAGGACAGCACACGTCAGCACAAGGCACAGGGGCAGCTCCCAGGAAGGACCTTTCAATTTGCATCTGTCTGTCCCAGGCTCCCAGCACCATGCCAGACTCATAGACGATGAGCTCATGAAATACCAGCTCCTTCTGAGGACCAGGCACGTCAGAGCTCGGACAGCCACCACTAGCTAGGACAGCCGCGCCTAAAGCACCAAGCGCACTGGACAGAATATGCAAGAGATGCTTCACAGGGAGGAAATGGAGACTTACGTTTCAGAGGGAGCCAGAGGGAGCTGGCCGCTGAGGTCCTCTGTGCATCCCCTGAAGGCATCCAGGCTGGAAGAAACCACGGAGCCCTCCGCCAGGGTCTTCCTTAAAATCCCTTGTACCATCCTAAAATGTGCCAGGTGTGTGTAATTCCAGGGCGAGCTTCCACCAGTGGTCTCCTTATTCCCCAGGAGATTTGGACATCACTGTAAATCCATCAGGCTCAGGAACGATCTAGAATGAGGCTCCTTGCAACTGGCAGCACAGCTGTGTTGAGCGGCATGTTTTTAACCTCCTTCTGGTCCGAAGATCAGGCCTGGGACAGGAGGAAGGAACAACAATCTCGTCACACTCACCGATCCAGAACGGCAGTCGGCCACCCCTCCCTCCTCATGATTGACCCTGACATTCTCAGAGAGGAACTCACAAAAAACAACTTCCCATAACCCTGGCACCCAAGCCCAGAGAGGACAAGAGTACCTAGGGCTGGTGGTTGAGTGTTGCTTCCCAAAATGCACCCAGGACCCCCTCCAATAGGGGCCTTCCAACTGCTGGGGGGTCCTCAGAATTGCCCTGGGAGGAGGGTGGAGCTGAGGTGCATCTATTTTGCATAAAAGCAGAGAGAGTTAGGTGTCTGGCTTAGAGCCACAGCAAAGCCAGGCCTGGCACCAGGCCTGGGCTCCCTGCAGGGCTGCAAGGTCCCAGCAGTGAGCTGAGAGGCTGAGGGTCAGCTGGTGGGAAGTAGTTGTTTTGTTTCTCTTGAAAGACAACCACAAAACCCTGGCGTGGCTCCAGACCTTGTCCTGCGCTGTGAGCTTCTTCAGGGCAGGGCCTGAGGCCTGTTCCTTTCTTGCTCATTCACTCAGCAATCCTGCAGCCCCTGTGAGCTTCCAAGTACTGTTCCAGCTCTAGGTGAGGCCTTGGTATCTTTACACCAGCATCCTCAAACTACCCCACAGACAGAAAAAGGGGGTCCACAATGCCCAGACCCAAGGCTCAGCATTCCCCAGCCACCAACAAAGCACTCGCTGTCCCTCACAGAGCATCTATTAGCCACCCTGCAAGAAGAGCTGGCCCCCACATCCTGTAAGAGCCCCTCAACTCCTGACCCAGGTTCCCAGATGAGTTTTGGAGCACAAAGACTACTTCACACTGGTAAGAGGAGGCCTGACTCTGGAGCCACACTGCCTCCCAAGTCTGAGCTCTGATCCACGGATCCAAGGTGTCTTAAGGACTGCCACCCCCAAAAGACGACAAAACAAAAGCACACCCACACACATCACAAAGAGAGAAAACCCACATCACATCAGAAAAAAAGAACAGATACACAACACACACCCATATCTCACAGCTTGAGAGAAGAAAAATGAAAACCACAAAAGGAGAACAGCCCCCAAAAGCACACACAGGAGAAAACACAGGCCTCCGCAAAAACCCACAAAAACCACAACAACACCACACCAAAACACACACACAACAGCCACAAAAAAACAGATCCACAAAAAAAGAACAGTAGAAAACACCACAGCGGGGCTCTCTCACAGCTCGAGAGCACACCCCTCGCACAGGGCTCAAAACAGAACAAAAACCAACAAAAAAAGGCCCCGGTCCCTTCCGGGACCCCGAACCAAACCGCCCCCCCCCCTTTTCCAAGTCCCAAAAGGTGCAAGGAACGCCGGGCCCAACGCCTCCCGCCAAAACCGCAAAACCAACCCCGGCCCCTCTCTGCCCCTGCTCTGCTGTCAGGCTCTTTTCCTGCCTCCCTCTTCCACATTGCAGGACCCATGTGACTATGCTGGGCTCGCTCAGATGATCCAAGATAACCCCTCTGTCTCAAGGTCCCCAGCCTTGATGGCATCTGCAAAGTCCTTTTTGCCCTGTAACGTAATGTACCTACAGATTCAAGAGATTAGGGCATCTGGGGGGCCGTTTCTCTGCCTCCCACAGCACCTGCACCAGAAGGGCATTCATCCCGTTTTTAAGCATCCTTGGAAGATGAAAAGCCGCCCATTCTCCAAATGGAAATCAAGCCAGCTACCTCCAGATCCACCTGACCTGACCCCCCACCACCACACACACTTGCTCATCAATAAAGCAAGCACCAAGGAAACAGCGAGGTAGGTTCTCTTCCACACACCCACCACCCCTCTCAACACCTGGGCACCCTGATATCCTCACCTGTGCAGGTGAAAACAGCACCTACCACACAGGGTCACACCAGGGTTGTGGGTCTCCTCAGGGTCAGCAGTGGCCACCAATTAACGAGGACATTCTAGGAGATGCCCAGGACTCGGTGCTCAGCACGCATTATTTTATTCATGTCAACTGCCACGGCGTGTGGAGGCCCATGTGTTCACGCACGGTACAGACCACACTCCCGAGCCTCAGCTTTGAGAGGCAGAGTCGGGTTCTGCATCCTAGTTGGCTCTGACTCCTAAGTGTGTTTTCTCCATTCTGAGCTATACCCTCTCTTATTAAATGAGGCACCGTTTCTAGAAAGTTCTGCCTTTGGCAGTGGTCAAGTAACTCCTGTTGGACAAGCGCTCCTGTGGATAATAACTATAAACTCTGTACAAAATATTTTTTGCAAAAAAAAAAAAAAAAGAAAATTAAAGAAAACCGGGAGGAGAGAGAGAGAGAGAGAGAGACGGAGTAAAGAGACAGGCAGAGATCAGAGACAGAAAGGGGAAGAGAAGTGAGGGAGGGAGGAGAGATGGGAGGGCAGGAACACAAAGAAACCTCACTAAAGGCACCAGAACGACCAAATACAGCAGGAGGCCCACTATATGGATCAGCACTTCCTTGATGTCCTCCTTTTGGTCATTTTTAGCCTGGGGTCAGGCCCAGGTCAGTACATACTGGGGGCTAAAACTTAGTTTTGCTGAATTTAAGAATCAGGACAGAGAGAGAGATCAAGATTTTTTTCATTTTCACAATAGCTGAAAATGAGAGGTGAAATCCTAGAAAAGAAAAATCCAGAAAAGGATAGCCCCAATTAAGAGTGTATAAATGTTCTCAGTACCACGGAGTGACCCCTGAGACCAAAGAACTGAACAGAGATTTTTCACTGTTGCCCATGTAAGAGGCACAGTTTGAAGCCACTAAGTTTACTCCTCACAGAAACAAAAACGCAGTGCTCTTCAGAGGAACAGAGTGGAACTCAACCCTACAGCCCCTCATCCACAGGGTCCACCACGATTAAAAGAGCTCAGTACAACAAATGACCAAAGAGGAAATCTGACCCATTCAGGAAAAACAGATGATTGTGGCCGCGTCCTCTAGGTGCCCAGTTGCTGGAGTTAGCAACTATTATAACTATGCTGAAGAACTTAAAGGAAAATATATTCTTAGTGAATGAAATGACAGGAAGTCTCAACAGGAAAACTAAAAGAAAAAAAAAATGGAAATGGGGGGTGGGGCTCAAAATCAATTCCCTAAATTCATTCAACAGCAGATTAGGGGGTGAGGAGCTAATGAATTTGCAAAGAGATCAACAGAAACTGTTCAATCTAGAAAATAGAGGAAACATTATGAAAAAACTGGAGAGGGCCTCAGGGGCCTGTTGCACAATATCAGAAGGCCTCATTGACGGGTAATTTTAGTCCAAAAGAAAAGATGAGAGAGAAGGAGCAGGACTGATAGCTGAAAGGAAAAAATGGCAGGCACCATCTCAATAAAAGACATGGATTTACAGATGCAAGAATCTCCGTGAATCCCACACGAGAAACACAGACAGACCCCGTGAAGGTCCCGGGGACAAGCTGCAGGACACCAGTGACTGAAAAGTCTTGAGAAGAGACGGAGAAAGAGCCGAGAGTCACACCTGCACCTAACACGCACTCTGCAGGGGACATCCTCAATCCACCTGGCGGCATGAGTGCCCACTATATGACCCAGGGAAAAAACAGATATGAAAGGAAGCTCGGGTGTCTAAGTATCAACAACTACAAAAGAAGAGAAAGTGAAGCACAGCAGTAAAATATCATGGTTTAAGTTAGACTGCCAAATGCACTGGCTAAATGACTCGAGGAACACTTTCTTCTTTTTCTTTCTCTCCCCCCCCACCACTCCACTACTTGAGTTTGAACCCAGGGCCTCACACATGCTAGGCCAGCACTCGGACACCGAGTTTCATCCCCAGCCCTTCCCCAGCCCTTTTTTTTAATTATTATTATTATTATTCTTAGTTTGACGCAGGGTCGTGTTTTTGCTGAGGAACTTGCAATCCTCCTCCTTCAGCCTCCCAAGTATCTGGGATTTCGGGCATGCACCACGGTGCCCGGCTCCGGGAAAATGCCTTTAACCTTAGATTTTTCTTCTCTGTAAAGAGCCATAAAAACATGCACCTGGAGTCCTCGTGTGAGGCTGTCCTCTGGTCTGAATGTCGGTGTCCATCCAGAATTCACACATTGAAATCCCATCTCCCGAGGTAGGCATTGGGCACGGGGTCTTTCAGAGGTGATGAGGTCAAGGGGGTGGAGGCCTTAGGATGGACTAAGTCTTCATCCAGGAGGGACCCAAGGGGGCCTCCTTGCCCCTTCTACCATGTGAAGACAAGCGAGAAGGTACCACCTATGAACCAGGAAACAGGTCCTAACCAGACACCAAATCTGCCTGAGCCTTGATCTCAGACTTCCCAGTCTCCGGCACCATGAGAAATACATTTCTGTGGTTTAAAGCTTCCAGTCACGGGTATTTTGTGATGGCAGTCCAAATGGACTAAGACGGGTTGACCTCAAATAATCAGCATCAAGCATTTAACAGACTGCTGAGCACACCTGAAGAGCTCGATTCTAAGCCGGGCACAATGGTGCACATCAGTAAGCCCAGCAGCTCAGAAGGATGAGGCAGGAGGATCGTGAGTTCAAAGCCAGCCTCAGCAATGGCAAGGTGCTAAGCAATTCAGTGAGACCCTGTCTCTAAATAAAATACAAAATAGGGCTGGGGATGTGGTTGAGTGCCCCCGAGTTCAATCCCCAGTACACAACCACTCCCCCAAAAAAGCGCTCAATTCTGGCTATCATCCATGCATCAAATGGAAAAAGCCACCCCCAAGTCCAAGGCAGTCCCCCAGAACCATCATAGTAGCTCCTCTTCCACTTCTCAGTCCCTACAAGCTCCACTGAGAACCAGCAGCACAGCAAAGCCGTCAGGAGAGGCCAGGAGTCCTGTGAAGGTCAGGACGAGAGGCCAATCAGCTGGGAGGGGCCCCGTCCAGCAGGAAGGAGAGCTGTGATGTATGGTGCGGCCTTGGCTACGGCAGGGGAGGTACCGGGGGACACTGTTAAATATTTACTGAGGCCCCCAGGCAAGTCT